AAGAAGAAGAAGAATTGTCATGCGGCCGAAATGCTGTAGATTCAAGCATTCGACGTATCCTTCAAAATCTACTTAAATCTTGAGATTTCATGAATTAAAATGATATAACTATTTCTTCAGAAAAAGTGTTTAATGTAAGGTAACTATGAATTGAAACATAACTATGAATTGGACTGGAGACTAAGGAAGACATAGGAAACCTTTGCTCTCCAATTAGCAAATTTTTTTGTAATTTTGTCAAAACACATAAATTCTGTAGGTATCACAGAAACAGAAAGGGGAAAGTATGCATTTAGACATGATCAAAAGTGAAAAATCACTAGGCAGCTGAGAGTTTCAAACAGTCTCACAAAAATCCTCCCATGAGTAGACACATACCTTTGACTAGTCTCAAAAATCAAAGGTACTTAGCTGCTCACAACTTCCAGATAGTTCAGATTTCTCTGACTATGCTGGACAACCATAACAAACATGGGGGTTTGTAAATTGACACTTTTTTAAAAACGCTGAGATCTCTGAAAATTATTAATGAGCTTAAAGAAGGAACTTGCCAAGAAATACGTGTGTGTGTGTGTGTGTGTGTGTGTGTGTGTACTCTACACAATGGCTTCCTGAAACTACAAAGAACAACAAAGAATAGAGAGCTCAGGAAATGGTGAAATATGGAAGTAGTCGCACTGGAGACTTCTTTGTAGAAAAAAGGTTTAGATTAGCTGGATAATATCAATTATTACAAGAAAAGACTTAAATACAAACACACACACACACAAACACACACGTGTACCTTCCTAAATAAAACATGTTAAAATCAGAAGATAAAAAATAAAACAAACCAACAAAAATCCTGACCACATCAAATGTATCTACCAATAAATGCTGATCTCAAAAGGCCAATCTTACAGAAGTTTATGAATATCAAGGGCTATGCACTAGAGAAATAGAGAACCACTCCAAGTCAAAACTGCCTTAACTTGATACAAACAAAACAAAATGATCACAGTGACCTTTGAAAATCAAAAGGTCCTAAAAATTAAATACCAATGACATCATAAAAACTCCTACCTTCAAAATGAAAAGAAATGAAGTGAAACTCCTCTTAAACTTCAGAACTGAAACTTCTATAAACTCAGAAGTCATAATGAACATCTCATATGCCACGGGTTTTTTTGGTAAAGCCCTGAATTGTAACAATGGACAATACCTTATTTCTCAAGTATAATTAAAGTTTTATAAACAGCTTATATAAAGGAAGATCAAATATGTTTCTTTGAAGTGTTGACTCTCTGTGGTTTACAAAATGCAAAACTCACTATTTCAACTACTTCAGGGACCACATAACAAAGGAAATTGCCACTGCCATGAGAGAGACAGCTGCAAGCCTCTGATAATACTTTGACAGACAAACTTTATATGACGGCTCAGCTACGTCTTTGAAACAACTATGTGGCTTTTTGCTTGTTTTTGATCTGGAGCTATTAAAAACAACTTGAACTTAAGGCACTATTACATCTCTGGTGCCTGATAACCAAGAAGTGGTCAAAATATATTTGCTAAATAGATTAACAAATGTAATGATAGGTATCAAGAATTTCATCAGCAATCTCTGTGAATTACCACAATAAAACAGAATTTCACCTAAAAAATGTTACTAAATTATCAACAAATAGGATTACTATAAAAAATATTTTGGTAAGTGACTCATAATGATATTTTATACCATGACTCTTATAGAACAAACACTATTACCAAAACAGTCTGACTCTGATAACACAGTTCTCTTACCTGGGACTTCCTCAGGTCCTAGACAGTCTCCAACTTGCTCATAAATGAACAAGCCTGGTCAACAGAGCATCCATGGACCAAATACTGGTGGATGCTCCTCTCCTAAGTCAGATGGCCACGTGGATGGCCAGCATCCCAGGAATGCACCCTACACCTTCCACTATACAATTATCTAATAACAACCCACTTTTTAAAATTGTGAATTCCTATATGAGACACCCATCTGTCATCATTCACTTAATCACACACACACAAATGTCAAACTCATGAACACAAAAGGCATTTCCTGCACTGGGGTTGTTGGAAACACATGCTATCTGAATTTCTGAAAGACACCGATATCTTTCCAAACACAAGTAATGGTGTCTATGAAGTAGTCACAGGTTTGGCTAATTCTCAAAGCTTTCTCCCATTTCAGAACTCCCATAAAGTTCATTTTATGTATAACTATCTCTTTTTCCACACAGAATTTGATATGGATTACAACAAATATATATGATTAGCTGACAAAATTTTTAATGATAATAAAACTGTGTCCCCAGCTTAACCCAATTCATATGAGTCCTAACACCCACCACTTCAGAATGTGACTATATTTGAAGATAAGGCCTTTAAAGAGGTAATTAAGATAAAATGAGGTCACATGGGCATGCCCTAATCCAATATGAGGAGTGTCCCTATAAGAGGAGATTAGGACACAGACATGTATGGAGGGAAGAACATGGAGACACAGGAAGATGGCCATCTATGAATCAAGCAAAGGCCTCAAAAGAAACAATTCTGACAATGCCTTGATTGCAAATCTCTAACCTTCAGACAGGTGTGCAAATAAATTTCTGTTGCTTAAACCACCCACTCCATGATACTTTGTCATATCCTAAAAACTGATGCAAATGGTAATAAAATTGATCTGCTTCAAATTAGGCAGTCCACTAGTTATAATGAGCAGGGAATCACCAGTCACTTAAGAACTCAGTCCTGTAATGCTCTTCTCTTGCACTTTTAATACATTTTTTTTAAATCCAAAAGGTGCAGGAATGAGCATGCCAAGAAAGTTTAGACCTTTGCCCAAGATTACGTAACACAAGGCAAAGGGGGAAACAAAACTCAGATTCCTAATCCACTTTTCAATTAAAACAAGGCCTGAGAAAGAAATCAAGGAGAAAGAACAAACATAGTTCAGAAAGAAACATAACCAGTGTGCATTTATAATTGGATCACTGTGGTACTATAGCAAATATTTGCTAACATACACAGAGACCTGTGAAACAGGGGTAGTTTCAGAGAGGTATTGGAGTGAGGCAGTTAAGAGCATGGACTTTGGACCAGACCCCACGGATATTAAAATCCTAGCTCCGCCTCTTACTCGCTATGACTTCTCCCAGCAAATCACTACCCTGTCTGTATCTCAGTTTTATCATCTGTAAAACAGACATATAGGAATATCTACCGCACAGGATTGTAGTGAGGTTCAAATGAGTCAATAAACTGAACCATTTGAAGTTACCATTTTATGGTTCAAAAATGGTCAAATATCAGCAACTTCATATGCTTCAGTAGGAGACATGGAAAGCACTTAGAAGAGTGTCTGGCACCTGGTAAGTGTAATATGAGTGTAATTAACCATTACTACTACAGTCTTAGCACACTAGGCTAGGGTGAATCCAAAGCCCATCCTAAACCACCTATTTGCCTTCTGCAATGTTTGTGAACTTCAAACACCCCTAAGCTCGAACAACCCCCAAGAGTGCTGTCCAGATAGTCAGTCCCTTCTCTTCACCTCTTGGTTGCCCTGCACTTCCACACCCTAAACACTTCCTTCTTTAGGCTCATTCTGCTGCAGGAAGTCAGACGTCTCTGTGAAACAGAAGTAACCACACTGCACCTCAGAGAAGCATGACTCCTTCGGTCTCTACTCCCTACTTTTCTCCAGATGTGGCAGAGTGGTAAAAGATCCAAGATGTCCAGAGGGGAAATCCAGGAGTTGAGATTTTCTAGGATCAGCCACCATCCTGATCTTGACCTAAAGTAACTTCAGGTACCACTAGGATCTGGCGCTGATATACACAAAACAACTGAGGCCTGAAAAGGGCACAGTCTGGCCGGGTTCAGAGATCCAGAGTAAAGAAGGAAACACGTTTCCCAACTCGTCTGGACCTCAGTCTGCCCAACTCGAAAATATCCTCTTATTACCTTACCTACCTCCCAATGTCAGGTTCTGAAGGGCTGAGGAGAATGTGAAGACCATTAAGAAGACACTCTGAACATCAGTAATAAAAGATGCCATCCTACAGTGGGGTCACCACCAACAGCATCCTCTCAAATGCTGCCCTCCACCCTCCCCTCCCTTGCTAGACCCTCAACCTCTTTTCGCATGCCTTCAGCCTTAGGCGCAAAGCTTTTCCTCTCCACAGATCCCCAAAACTGCACCCCTCAAGTGGGACTTGGGACCTTTAAAAAGTCCACCCGGCCTTCCTCTTGGCCAGTTCTCGATCTGCCCCCTTAAAGAGATCCCTCACAGGTTCTCACCCTGCTTCAGTATTCTCCCCACTACCTCCGTGGACAGCCTTCCCCCGAGTGGCCCGGCCTCAGCAGGTACTCTCCCTAACTTGTCCCCACGTTCCTCAGCAGAGTCTCCCCGCGGCGAGTGTTCCCTCTAACCGGTCCCAAGTCTAACCCCTTAGCAGATGCTCCCCTCACCAGGACCCTCCTCCACCAGACGTCCCCCCCCACTCAGCAGGTGCCCCATCAGCTGGGTCGCTTCGCTCCAGGGACTCCCACACAGGTGTCTCCCCGAAGCCAGTTCCCGCCTTTTCTTCCCCCGTCCCCTTGCCCGTCCTCTTAGCTAGTGGCCCCTCACCGGCGCGGCGGGTTCCTCAGCTGTACCGTCTCCATGGCGCTGCCGGCAGCCGCCCAGACCCGCTCACTGCTCCATCCTCCCCGCGGACCTCCCTGTGCCCGCCCCGCAGACCCACCCACACTTCCGCTTTCCGCCCCTACCGGAAGCGGAGCGCGGCGCGGGAGCGGGGCGGAGCCACGGCTCTGACCACGTGGTTCGGGGCGTGAGTCAAGTGGCGCGGTGGGGCGCGGACCCGGAACCGCCTAGTGGTAAAGGGGCCTCCCGGCGTTGTCCGGTGGTGTCTAGGGTGTCGGCGACGCTGTCTTCCTGCAATACTGGAGCGCATGAAATCCTCGGTACACAACGCACCTCTGCCTGGGTCCTGGGCCCCATTTCACAGACAAGAGATACGTGAAGCGCCTCCGTGAGAAGAGCTGACGATTCTTAGCAAACCAAGTTCTGTATGATTTTGGTGAAGCGGCGCTGCCCCAGAACCCCTGGAGGTATTTGTGGTTTCCTGCCGCTTACTTGGTTGAACTCTGGTCCCAACGGGTCCCCTGCACATTCTCTCCTCGGATTTGTTACAGAGCATCAACGCGCAAATTGCCCCACTGTCTTTCTTAAAGGCCTCCCCTTTAAATCAGTTTGCAGACATAAAAATAACATTAATTAAGCATTTGCCATGTATTTGCCTTTATATATTATGTCATTTAATCTCCCATGTCAAGCCTATAAGGTCATCCCCATTTTTATTTATTGATTTAACACAGTGCCTACACGTTTTCAGTGCTTTACCTCATTTAATACTCCTAACAACCTAGACGATATTATTATTATTCCTATTTCATAAGGCCAGAGAAGTGAAATATAGCCCAAGGTCACATAGCTTAGAGTATAGGTTTCGGGATTTAAATCCAGGTTGGTCTGATTTCAGGGCCTGCATCAGCAAACTGGACAGCCACGGATGTGTAACCTCTTCTGCGGCCTGAGAGACAGACCTTTCTCTCCACTGTGAGTTCTGGCTTCAGCTATTGCGCTTCTGAATGCCACTACCATCAATGAATATTAGGAAAATGGCAGATTCTACCCAGTTGACCCATGGGGAAAGTTATAGGAGAAAAATTAACCAGAGCAACCTCTCACTGTTTTTAATTGCCTTGCCTTTCCCAGGGATATGCTATCTACAGAACTTAACACCTGAGCACCCACCCTTCAGGGCCACCCAGGGATGGCATCCCATGTGCCCAAAATGGGATAAAGGAGCCATTCCCTGACATAGGAGGAAAACATTTACTGAGAAGCTACTATGTGCCAGACACAATCTTGGACTTTCACTTAATCCTCAAAACGGCCCTATCAAGTAAGAAGTATCTTCTGTTAACAGGTAAGAAAGCTGACACCCACGGTTTACACAACTAAAGAGAGCAAAGGTTTTAACCCAGGACTATCCTGACTCCACAGCATCAAAGTAGTTGTTTGGTTTTTGTTTTTTTGTAGAGAGAGAATCTCCTTCTATTACCCAGGCTGGTCTCAAAACTTCTGGGCTCCAGCAGTCCTCCCACCTCAGCCTCCCAAAGTGCCGGGATTACAGGCAGGAGCCACCACACTAGACTGATGAATAGAAATTGGGTAAACATTTTTGAAAATTAAATATCAAATTACCATTACACAATGCCAAACATCCCTCCTTTGTCCTCTTCCGAGGATTTTTCCAGAAGATGGACTGACATTCTGATGGCCCCCTTCTTCCACAGAATGTTCCCAATGAAAATTTCTGAAATGATAGGAATGTTCTACATATGTGCTGTCCACAATAGTAACCATTAGCCACACAGAGCTATTGAGCACTTTAAGTGTGGCTAGCATAACTGAAAGGCCAAATCTTTAATTTTAATAGCAAACCATGGCCAATCATAAAATGATAATAGCTTAAGAAAGAAACGGTGAGCAGGGTTACTGGGAGAGAGATTTTCCTATAAGCTCTGAATATACAGTTGACCCATGAACAACAAGGGTTTGAACTGCATGGGTCCACTTACATAACCCTTGTTTTTTATGTTTTTTTTGTTTGTTTGTTTGTTTTTAATAAATACAGTCAGCCCTCACTATCAGAGGGTTTCACATCCATAATGAAACATGGTTGGAAAATACAGTATGGGATGTGAAATTTGTGTAGAGGGTGGGCTGACTTTTCATTTCCATGGGATCTTCAAGGGCAACTACAGCACATGAGTATAGTCAGATTTTGGTATCCTAGGAGATCCTGGAACCAATACCTGGCAGAAACTAGAGGACAACTGTATAATGTGTACATTGCTCCACATCTTTCTTAAAGGTCTCCCCTTTAAGTCAGTTTGCAGACATAAAATAAGCAACATTAATTAAGCATTTGCCATGTACTTGCCTTCAAGTATTCAAGGGACTGGGTGTGATGGCGTGCATCTGTAATCTGAGCACTTTTGGAGGCCAAGGCAGGAGGATTGCTTGAGCCCAGGAGTTCAAGATCAGCCTGGGCAATGTAGTGAAACCCCTTTTCTACAAAAAAGATTAGCCAGCTACGACATATTATGTAATGCCATTTGTATGACCCTCATGGTCACCCTAGACCCCATGAATCAGGCCCTGCCTGGTGCTACCACCACTTCTGTGCCAGGCCCCCCAGTGTGATGCAAATTGCATGATGCTCTTTGCTATAGTGCCTTTTAATGGCATCACTTTGGAAGGTTTGGAGATGTTCAGAATAGGCAAATCTTTAGAGCCTGTGGTGAATTAGTGGTTGCCTAAGGCCTGGGGGAAAGAAGCATAGATAAATTGGAGGGATTAATTAAAAGGTGTGAGATTTCATTTTGGAGTGATGAAAATGTTCTAAAATTGGCTGTGGTAATTGTTCTACAACTCTGAATATACTAAAAGGCATTGAATTGTACTCTTTCAATGGGTGAACATATGTGAGTTATATCTCAATAAAGCTGTTTTTAAAAAAAGACACTTCTTCCTAGAAGACTTAGGTCTCTGTTCCCCTGTTCCTTCCCTGACCCTCTCATCTGTCCCTCCTTCAAATTATTTAAGTACTGTTTTATCAGTCCTGGCATTTATGGGAAGCACTGCAGGAAGGGATTTCTAGGTATGACTGCTGTGTAAGAAACCACCCCAAAGTTTATTCGCATAGAACAATAATCTTTTTTTCTTCTCAGAAATCTACCATTTGAGCACAGCTCAGCAGGAAGGCTCATCTCTGCTTATGGTGTCAATCAGGATCAATCAGCCCTGCCCCAAATGCATCTCACACCGCTGGCAGGGTGGTGCTGGCTATTGGCTGGGGGCAGCTCCACTTTTCTTGAGCTACCTCACAAAATAAAACTTGAGTTCTTTTTTTTTTTTTGAGATGGAGTCTCGCTCTGTAGCCCAGGCTGGAGTGCAATGGTACAATGTTAGCTCACTGCAACCTCCACCTCCTGGTCCCAGTTCAAGCAATTCTTCTACCTCAGCCTCCCAAGTAGCTGGGATTACAGGAATGAGCCACCATGCCCAGCTAATTTTTGTATTTTTTAGTAGAGATGGGGTTTCACCACGTTGGCCAGTCTGGTCTTGAACTCCTGACCTCATGATCCGCCCGCCTCAGCCTCCCAAAGTGCTGGGATTACAGGCGTGAGCCACCACTCCCAGCCAATAAAGCCTGGGTTCTAAAATATGTTCTTGAGGGAGAGCCAAGATGACGCTGTGGTGCCTTTTAGTGGCATAGCTTTGGAAGATACTTAATGTCATTACCACTGTGGAGGGGGGCCACAAAGTCCTGTCCAGTTTCAGGGAGAAGGGATGTAGACTCTACCTCCTCATAGGGCAGTGGCAAGGGTCTGGAAGAGCTTGGGGAACCAGAAATATTATTGGGGCCATTTTTGGGAAATAAAATTTGCCACAGCTACGCTTATCTGATAAACCACTCACGCTTATCTGATAAACCACTCAGGAAATATTCAGCTGCAAGCAAGTGAAAACATCTAAATGTTGGCTTAAAGTACCATGGCATTTACTGTTTGTTTTGAGAGAGAGTCTCACTGTGTTGCCCAGGCTGGAGTGCAGCAATGTGATCTTGGCTCACTGCAACTTCCACCTCCTGGATTCAAGTGATTCTCTTGCCTTAGCCTCCTGAGTAGCTAGGATTAAAGGTGTGTGCCACCACGCCCAGCTAATTTTGTATTTTTAGTAGAGACGGGCTTCAGCATGTTGGCCAGGCTGGTCTCGAACTCCTAACCTCAAGTGATCCACCTGCCTTGGCCTCCCAAAGAGCTGCGATTACAGGTGTAAGCTACCACACCCTGCTTTTATTCTTTACTAAAAGTCAAGAAGTCCCAGCAGTTCCAGAGTTGATTCAGTAACTCAACAATATCTATTTCATTTTTCCCCTCCCATCCTATTCAGCATGTTGGCTTTTCACACTTTCGTTTACTGCCTCACAGTCACAAAATGGCTACCACATCTCCAGATATCACATCCTTACCCAGCACTACCCAAAACAGAGAGCAAGAAAGGCTACTTGATCCACTACCTCTCTCTTATAGAGAAGGAAATTTTTCCCATAAGGACCTAGCAGACTCCCTTTTATCTCATTGCCCCGATCAGGGTCACATGTGCATCCCTTGATGAACAACTGGCAAAAGAAAGTAACATTTTTCTGATTGGCTTAGAGCAATCCTGATTCACTTACCTAACCTGGGAGAGTCTCAGGCAAAATTCAGGCTCCTGGAAGCAAAGATGGAAGTCACTGAGTAGCCAGCCAGCAGTAGAGGCCTCATCTAGTTTTCCCACCACTGTCTGGGTTCATCCTTGGTGGGGGGCAGAGGTCAAGGGGAAGCAGTTCAGATGGAACAGTCATCCAACCCTCAGAAAGCTTATAGTCTGGTGGAGTTAAGTGTATGCAGGTCATTATAACTGAATTCCTGAAGGTAGAGACTAGGTCTTTGTCAATCAATGATTTTATTGGATGCTAGACCCTATTAGGGTCTTGGATAAACAAAGATAAAGAGGACCCACTTCCTGCCATTAAAGACCTCACAGTGTTTGAGAAAACTACAAACTGACAATCAAAGGGTGACAAATGCAAAGTTAGGGATAAAGCTAGGGACAAATAGGGAGCAAACGGAGCACAGTGTGGGGTGGAGAGGGGGCTGGAATCAAGAAGGGCTTTCAGAGAAGAGGTTGTTTGAGTTGAATGTTATAAGTTAATTCAGGATTAGGCAGGAGAAAAAGTATTTAGAAAAAAACATTCCAGGAGAACGAGATAACAAGCAAAGGCTAGGAAGCAAGAACTTGGTGTGCGTAGACAGCAATGCGTGGTTCATAGCAACATCAGACGAGGCTGGAGATGAAGTTACCCTCCGGGAAAGATTTTCATCCATTCAGAACCTTGATCATACAAACTGGGTCATTCTTGTCCTGACAATTCTGTCAACTAAGACAGAATTGAAAAGCCAGGGGAACAGATACTCAGGGCATATAACATTGTTCCCAAAAAGTAATTTTTTGCAAGCCTGGCTGCTAAAAGTGCCTGCTGTAACTTCAAACCAGTTTTATCTAATAGCTACTGAAAACAGCCTGCTACAATTCTGAGTTTTATCCAACACCATCACTTACCAATCAAAGCTTGCCAGCCCTCCAAGGAGCTGGTAAACCCCCACTTTACTAGTGCCAGTAAACTTCCTTGAAGAATAACATGTAACATTTCTGTTCTATGAAATCTCCCTGCCTTCTCTTTGTTCTTCTGACACACCAAAGACAACTCGGTCTGTGTGTGAGCCCTGAATTGCAATTCTTGATTCCCAAATAAAACATTTAAACTTGAGAGATTCACCTCTACATGTTGAGTTTGACACCGTCAATCCACCTGTGCATTAACTTATTAAATAAACATAGACGATAGGGGCCAGGTACTTTCTAGCGTTGGAACCTCTGCACTTACCGTCCCTCTGGCTGGATCAGCATTCCCTAAATATTGCCTGGTCTCAGCTCAATTATTACCCCCTGAGAAAGGCTTTCCCTCATCCCATTATTTAAAATAGCTCACACGTGGTCACTTTCTGTTGTATTATCCTGTTTCGTTTTCCTTACGGCACTAATCACACGAAATTAGCGTCTTGGTTTGCTTGTCAGTTAATGGCCTGTGGGGCCCCACTAGGACATAAACTCCCTGAGAGCGGGGCCGGCATCCTTTCCTGAGTCATCCACAGCGTTCTAGCAACGCAGAGCGCCCAACTCTGCTTCAGCCACGCGCGTGCGAGAGGAGACAGCTCCGAGCACGCGCAGAGGGCGGGGCGCTCCCCAGGTCGCGCAGGCCCCTACCTCCGCCCCGCCCCCGACCCTCCGGGTTCTCCGAGGGGCGGAGAGACTCGGCGCCGGCTTCCGCCGGGGCGCTGTGCCGCACCACACGAGGGAGGAAGGAAGGAGCCCCCCACTCGCTGGCCTGGCCGCGGGATGGCCCCCAAATTCCCAGACTCTGTGGAGGAGCTCCGCGCCGCCGGCAATGAGAGATTCCGCAACGGCCAGTACGCCGAGGCCTCTGCGCTCTACGGCCGCGCGCTGCGGGTGCTGCAGGCGCAAGGTACGACCCCGACCCCGTCTCACCTCTGGCCTGCTCCTCCAACCCCCGCGACCACCGCCCGGGCCTCCCTCTGCCGGTAGCCGGTAGTCCTGCCCGGCCCTCCCTCCCATCCTTCTAGCCCCTTCCGACCTCGGCCCTTTCTTTCCACCTGCTTGTTAACTGCCCTGCTGGCCCCCATCCTAAGTTATTTAGGCCTCGCTCTGAGCCCTGAGGCTAAACCCTCCTCCCCCGCAGCGATTCATTTTCCAGGTAGTATTTGTTGAGTAGCTGTTAAGAGACCGCCTGTGTAACAAGACACAGAAAGTCGCTTCTCTCAAGGACAGCACATTCTTGTGGGGCCGGTAGGGAGGGCGTGGGTCTTAGCGAGTAAGCGACCTGGGGGATAATCAGGATTAGGAAGACAGACAGGGTGATGTGATAGAGTTGACTGGAGTGGGAGATCGAGGACAGCATCTCTGAAGAATGTCTCAATGACGAGACGCCAAGCGCACAAGGCTTTGGGACCTGAAGGGAATTGCAATGAGAAAAGCCCCGCAGAAGGTATAAACGTGGTGTGTTTCGGGGGTCAAAGCATAGGGAGCCAGGGGAGGGAAGAGGAACACAGCAGGTCAGGTAGGTGGGCAGACCCTTATTGTGCAGGTATTTTAAACCCTGCCAAGGAGTTTGGATTCTATGCCCTGATAGGAAGCTACTGGAGAGTTTGATACATATTCTTACCACTTCTCCCAGCGTCCAGCTTACTTCAGCATACCGCAACCTTTGCCCAAAGCCCCTTCTCCAGAGTGACTTATTCAGAAACCCCCATTGGTTAAAGCCTTGACTTTTGAAAGGAGCCTTGGATCCCGTGTTCTGTGAGTCACCATTAGTACCTATATCCCTTTGCCACCTTCCTTTTTCTCCTTTTCTTGGCTAGCATCTATTGAGTGCTTTACCATGTGCTAGACATTTTAGACATGATCGCCATTGATCTTTATTATGGCCCTGTGGATAACACGCTTAGAAAGGAGGAGTCCAAGAGGGTTAAGTTGCCTCCCTTGGGGTTACACGGTGAAGACATGGCAGAGCCACGATTTGAATATGGATCTGTTAGATTTTGATGTTAAGTCCAATTTTTGAATCATTTTGCTAGACTTCTCAGATCCTCTCCAAATTTCATTCTTTTTTTGTCTGCACTTTTTGCAGTTTCAAGCCACTCTTTTGCGGGCTTCTTTTTTTCTGGAAAACTCCCCTTTAGGCCCACTTCCTCATGTCAGTCTTAATTGATGAAGTTGCTGAGGAAGCTGAGGTATTGATGTGGCCGCCATTTTCTTTCACCTCACCCCAGCTTGTCTGGAAAATCTTGCACGTTTGTATGGGTTACTTCTGAAATTCTTTTTTTTTT